CTTCAACCTACTAGCGATGGCCTCCAACCTACTAGCGATGGCCTTCATCCTACTAGCGATGGCCTTCATCCTACTAGCGATGGCCTCCAACCTAAGAGTGATGACCTCCATTATGTTTCTCTGCTTTGTTTGCTATGAACCCTTTGAACCTTGCCCCATCTGCTTTGAAAAAGCGATTGAAACCTAGGCATTCGTCACATCTCGGTCCGAACACATTCTTTCGTCGGAGTACATGATGAGTGCAACAATTGAAATTGTGCATCCTGAGCGTGCCTTTGAAGACAGAAAAAAAGAAAACGTTGCTCGCCTCCATCGACGTTCGAATTCAATGGCAAGGTCAAGCTTTGACCCTGTGCCTGGGGCCGTGGTTGTTGGAGCAAAGCATTCTTTCCACTGACATACTTGAGGTACTCGGGGTATGTGTCTCTGTTGTGCTGCCAATTTCCATGAGTTTAACAATTACGTTCAGACATCGACACGTGCTTCGGGGGATCATGAATCCCTACACCAATCATCAGTCCCCAAAAGGGTTCTCCAGAACCAAATCTAGAACTGAAAAAACGAGATGCAGACGGGATTATAGAGAAACTGGGTTTGTGGTTGCCAAGCAAACCACAGGTTAAACCAACAAACTGGTGGAGTGCACTCACCACAGAAAATTGATGTTCATACCGATCTATTAAAGCGCAGTGGCTTTAGAGTTCTGTGTTCGTTTTTCAAGGCAAGCTGAAAATCTAAGTTGGAATATGTTTAGATTGAGTGTCACAGTGTTGTCATTTTCTGTCAGTAGGTTTCGCCACCGTCACCATCACTTACTTGCAGCCAACCAAATTGGTGCCAGTCAAAGCTGTATTGAGACTGGTCCTTGCCGGTTTCCGACAGCCGCAACGGTCCCAGGTCCAACGTGCGTTTGCTGTTTTGGGGGGCGTCCTTGCTCCTAGTAGTAAGGCCAGGAGCCCCTAGTAACGTCCTTGCTCCTAGTAGCGATGCCAGGAGCCCCTAGTAGCTTGGGTGTTGTTATATCGCATTTTGTTGTGGGACTTAGTACAACGTTCGATGCTCCCTGCTGCGTTTGGTTCTACTCTTCATGCTTTGCATAAGACGATGAATGCGATGTACAGGGTGGTATGGGGGAGGTGGGGACAGTCATTACGTTCGATGTATGATGCATTCTCTAAGGGAGTTGCTCGTAGCCCCACCTCCACATATTCAATTGGCGTAACCGTTCGTTGTATAAGGTTCACTCTTTTTTGTGGAAAAGTAGGATGAAGTAAATATGATATTGTACATCAAATGTGAGGATTTCCTGCATGTGTTCATTGTATGTGGTTTTTGTTTTGTGCAAAGTTTTCTGTGGGACCGAATGTGGCGCTTTAAAAAAGGATTCATCGCCGTGGTTTACGAATGCGACCGAATTTCTTCTGACGAAGAGCACTTCAAACAAAGTTTGGTGCAGCTGCTGTGAGCATCGTGCATGGCTATGAAAATACAGAGAATCAACAGTAGAAAAAGAACATATGAACAAACAAATAAGCGAGCTTAAGATTCCATGTCAAACTCCCGTAGAATACCACACAAAATTTTGAGATATGCTGCATGCCTTTGAATGCAAGCTAGACTGTTTTGATTTCGTGTGGCTTGGTGTATGTCATACACCAAGCCACATGAAATCAAAAAAGACTAGCTTAACAACATACAACTATTGTCAACTATTGTCATGTTTATTTTGTCCTTTTGCAACGTGTTTTCACTTTCCGATGTCACGTTTGGTGGCTTTCGTGCCAAACGTTCGGACCGACCCACGGGTCACGGCACCGGTGCAACGTTGTTCTCAGCGCAGAAGGTGGCGCCCACTCCAGCCATTGCGATCGTCGCTTCGAGCAAGTCACTTGCAGAGAGAAGAGAGCGAACCGCTTTTCTCAAGGAATTGGGAAGAAAGCGGCTGCGGCGGCTGGCGCTCGTGCTCCCGTTCGGTTCCCAAATGACCCATGGTTGTTTGGGAACACATGGAAACACCACTGGTGCGTCCCACCAGTTGGAATTCGGCAGCAAGTCCCCAGCTATTCGTCTCGCGGCCGGTCCACGACGCAGTTGAGGATGTTTAACTAGAACATCTAGCGAGAACACGAACACCGTTCGACAAAGACATCCGTCTTCGTAAATGGAACGAAAGTGAAACTGGAAGAACCCACAACGTCCAAGGCAAAGCAACCAATCCAAGTTCCAATTGGTTCAATTCCATCTGCTTTCCGAAATCTTCCAAAAGCTTGTGGCAGTCGCACCTCGATATGAAAAAACCTCTGGTCGCACCTCCTCGACTGTCAAGCTTGGGGTTCTGGAGCTTCAAATCGGCGAAGGACGACAGGGTCTCCATATTCTGTCGATACTGTACTTACTTACTTGTACCATGTGCCGTATAGGGTAGACCCTCTGGCTGGCTGTCGACTCTTCTCCGAGTTTTTTGTGCCTTGGAGCATTGGCATCCTTTGCTTGAATCCTTGGAACTCTCAAAAATAGCAAACCCATACAGAACAGCGGACAGCTAGCGACCTCCATCGGTCACCCTGCGACCTCCATCATCGAAGCCAACAGGGTCCCTTTGCTCGTCGGTTCGCTGCTGCCGCCCTCCTCCCACTCTGGAGCCAGTCGTACGAGTCGTAGCCGGAGACGGTCGGACGGCGATTGGGACCGGAACCCACGAAGCCGCCCAGCATCGCATGCGATGGGACACCAAAAGAAAACCACCCAAGCCAATGAGTGTTTTTAGGTCAACTTGAGCACCTACCCGAAAGGCCACCCCCGAAGGCACCATGAATTTGGGGTGATGGTCGTTCAGCGCTTTGCGGGGCGGAGAAACGACCGCTTCCTCTTGGGGCCGGTGCTGGAAATCCAAGGTCAACTTGCCATAGTACTTCTCCACAATCACCCGTGCGGCCTGACACGGAGAACAGGGCGGGGCCGGCGGGCGTTCAAGCCTCTACCGGCTCGGGTGTGGTCGACCGGTGGTCGTTGGGCGGCCGGCATCATTTCCCCGGATGGAAGTGCTCGAAAGAGAGAGAGGGAGAGAGGCTGCCTTGTGGCGAAGCCCAGATTTCTTCTGCCCGCTTCAAGATCCACTGGAAATCCACTGTGTCAGGGTGGACAAAACTTCCAAATACTCTTTTGTTCAAACAGAATCATGGTGTCTACATGGTGTTCCGGCAGTCCCCTGCACTCCCACCTCTTCGTTTAATGTTACTGGCTCAAAGGTTGGGTCCTCCATCCCCCCAGGGTGGCACTCATTCTTTGGATGGAAATGATATTCTGAATCTGAGTTTGGGCCACTTCGCACATGAAGAAAAACCGGTGAAAGTGCGAAAAAGAGGGCCAACAAGACCAGAGGTCGACATGTCGGCTGAGAACCAACCTGCTCTTGAATGTCAGCGCTACCAAAAAGTCCTCAGCCTTGATGAATGTATACAGTACCCCATTGTCTCGAAATAGAGCATCACTTCTTCTAGTTGCCAAAGTGGTGCAGGAAAATATGCACATCAAGAGTAGATGAGCTGGTTGGCTATTTGAACACCGTGTTCTGACAATTGGTCAACTGTGATCATTCACAACTTTGGATGGAAAACAAAGCTATCCCTAATCACCGCGCAGGCGGAATCCTCTCTTTCCGGATCTTCTCGTTGTAAGCCTTCTTCACAGTCTTCGTTCGGACACGACCCATGGCGAATCGTCTCGCAGCTGTTCAACGGTCGGTGCTGGAGCCGTAACACCCGTTCAGCGGAGAATCAAGGCGTTTCACGATGGAGATCCCAGAAGCAAGGAGTGTTGGTGTCGAATAGTCTACAACAGCGGACACAATATTGGTCAGAGACATGCCACAAGTATAGGTTTTTTGGCGTCGCTCCTAGAGGGATCATCCTCTTCTTGTGCATATGGCAAAACAAGCGCGCAATGAGCTGGAGTGTCAAAAGGGAACAAACATGAACAAAAGGTCTATCATCTATCATTCGTGTCGGAGATGCTGGCTGGTTAGGTCGCGTTGCGTTTTCCATCGTTTTCCAGGTGCTCCTCAGTCGAGCCGGCCATCTATGCAAACTGATTGCAAGCTATGGACTGATCATCCAGCAAACGGCCTCCAACCTAGCAATCGCCTCCAACCTAGCAATGGCCTCCAACCTAGCGATGGCCTCCAACCTAGCAATGGCCTCCAACCAGCAATGGCCTCCATCCTAGAGATGGCCTCCAACCTGGCAATGGCCTCCAACTTAGCCTCCAACCTAGCGATGGCCTCCAACCTAGCGATGGCCTCCAACCTACAAATGGCCTCCAACCTAGCGATGGCCTCCAACGATGGCCTCCTATCTAGCAATGGCCTCAAACCTAGCGATGGCCTCCAACCTAGCAATGGCCTCCAACCTGGCCATGGCCTCCAACCTACAAATGGCCTCCAACCTGGCGATGGGCTCCAACCTAGCGATGGCCTCCAACCTAGCAATGGCCTCTAACCTAGCGATGGCCTCCAACCTAGCCATGGCCTCCAACCTACAAATGGCCTCCAACCTAGCGATGGCCTCCAACGTAGCAATGGCCTCCACAGCCTCCAACCTGGCGATGGCCTCCAACTTAGCAATGGCCTCCAACCTAGCGATGGCCTCCAACCTAATAGCGATGGCCTCCAACCTCAGAGCGACGGCCTCCAACCTAAGAGCGATGGCCTCCAACCCAAGAACGATTGGCCTCCAACCTAAGAGCGATGGCCTCCAACCTAAGAGCGAAGGCCTCCAACCTAATAGCGATGGCCTCCAACCTAGCGATGGCCTCCAACCTAAGAGCGATGGCCTCCAACCCAAGAGCGATTGGCCTCCAACCTAAGAGCGATGGCCTCCAACCTAATAGCGATGATCATGGCCTCCAACCTAACAGCGATATCCTCCAACCTATGAGCGATGGACTTCAACCTAGTTGCAATGGCCTCCAACTTAGCGATGGCCTCCAACCTAGCGATGGCCTCCAACCTAAGAGCAATGGCCTCCAACCTAAGAGCGATAGCCTCCAACCTAAGCGCGATGGCCTCCAACCTAATAGCGGTGGCCTCTAACCTAAGAGCGATGGCCTTCAACCTAAGAGCGATGGCCTCCAACCTAAGAGCGATATCCTCCAACAAAAAAGCGATGGCCTCCAACCTAAAAGCAATGGCATCCGTCTGCGCAGCCTGGTGGGACCACTTCTCTAGCTCGTAGCTCTAGCTCAGTTTTCAAAGGCCCAAACGAGTTCAAAAAGGATTGGTCAAATGTGTTCTTCAATTGCCAAGGGCATCGCTACTAGTAACAAAGGGCGTTACTACTAGCAGATACTAGTACTGTAGCAATTCCTGCTACTAGTAACAAGGGCATCACTACTAGTGCTTCTTTTTAAAAAAAATAGAAACTTTGAATCCCCAACGGTGATCCCAACGCTTCAGCGACTGTTTTCGACCTGTGGCGCTCGTCTGACCCGCGGCCGTGGAGTACCACCGCTCACTTCCCTGCCGGGGGGAGTTCCGGTTCGAAATGGAGCTCTTCCACCCCATGATGCCGTCGAAATTCCCCAAAACGACCAAGCTACGTCCTTTTCATTCCTTTTCTTATTGTCTAGACTGCGTCAGGACTCACAAATCTCTTGGTCCAAGCACGCAATAAAAAGATATGGTCGGCACCGAACTCCAGCTCGGTGACCCTGAGCTACCACTGCGTTCTCGCCCATCGTTCTTTTCGCATGACAAGGACCGGTTGCCCGAGGAAATCTCCGTTGATGTACGTACAAACCTGGACCCCCCAGGAAAACACAAAACAAACGGCGCTGGCGCACTCACAGACATGCCGGTCAAGGTGGTATTGGAGGTCGCGATGTTTGGGAGGCGGTCCATCTCCATCTCCTTTGCCACGAGCAGAAGGGTCAAGAACCAGATGAAGATTGTAGGAAAAGCGCCAACACCCTGCTGTGAGTGGCGAACACATTGAGACATCCTCCGAACAGACCTACGAGATTGTCAAGAACGCGTCCTTCATTTGAGAAAGTCTTCCAACACTGTGATGCAGTGTGGACGCCCATGCGAGTCATTGACCCCCAAAAAAGTGCCATTATGTCCGACGCTACTTCACAGGTGAACCATGTCTCACACTGATCGTTCTGACAAAGCCCGGAGTCCGCAAACACGAGGCTGGAGACCCGAAGTCAGTTAGTCAGTTTACTTACCACTTCTTATTGTGGATGTGTAGTTTTTCTTTGCAGGATGAACATATGGACTATATGTATAGGATCTGTAGTTTCACTATATTCTAAATGGACTATATACGTGGACATCAGGGAGCCGGGAGGAATCTGGGTCATCTGGGGGTGCAAATATGGATACGATTGAATGCCACTTCCAACTGGTCGCCCGGTCGCCAGACCTAACGATCCAAAGGAACCATGTCAGAGGGAGAATGCCATTTTTGGGGGGACACAAATCATCACACCTGGAGAATCAAGAAGGCTCTACCAATTGATTTGCAGTTGGTGTTGCAAGACAGGGCTTTAATATATCTTTAATGACAACCAGCACGGTTCGCTCTCCTTCAACATGTCTCGCGTGTCGGCATCCACCTGGATGAAGTCAGTGTTCACCTGGACACCGCGTCGAACTCCGACTCGAAGACTATCGGAAAAACGAAGATCTTCACCTCCAAAAGTGGCTGTGGCCATTGGACCCGGCCAATAGCTGGATTCAGCAGAACACCGCAAAGAAAACCACCGCTCCGACGGTGATGGACTGTGTCCATGCCCTCGGCTACAGGCCCCCACTCCCCTTGATTCTACATCTCTCCCCCCTCCCCCCCTGTGGGCACAGATGCCATCGGCTAACTGCCAAAAGGGGCTAACGCACCACTCCGTGGCACATGGCCCACCGCACGTTCGGAACGACGGCAGCGACCCGGGCCAGCGACCAGCTCGGGCACCTCCGAGCGCTCGGGCACGAACTCCATCCTCCTCTCGCGCTCCTCCTCCTGGAGCTTCAGCGAGATGCCACGCACGGGACCTGCGAAAGGACGCACGACGTGCACAGCGAGCCGAGCACCGTGCACCGCGCCGTGCATGGTGCCCCCTTGTTGGGGTCCCCCATTGCTATTAGGTTGGGAGGCCCCTCTTTTCTGGAAGTGGGTCCAGTCCGCAACCGCGCGTCGAATAGGCATCCGAGGAACTCGGATTGCTCCCATCTTTTTTCTCGGTCCATTCACCGTGGTAGATGCTCACCCCGTGGATCGTCGTGTTCCGCCGAGATGCCTTTTTGGATTCGCTTCATCAAGTGTGTCGTGAAGCCAGCGATCTTGTTCCCTCGGAGGTCGAGGGCGTTTGAAAAAGTAAAAAGTAAGCAAGCGCAGTCAAGGTAAAAACCCATCACTTATTGCCTAGTGCAGACATAAACAGTTTCAGAAAATGCCCTCACTGAGCGCAAACAACGGCAAACAACATTTAGAGTTTTGGAGTTCTTGCTTCTTGGGGATCTTAAGGTTTTGGGATCATCCGAGCCCACAAGCGACTGAATTCGCACGGGGCGATGCCAGAGAGTGATGCTTCAGACCACCCGGGGCATCACAAATACGATGATGGCCAGATAGTATGTCTCTAAGTGTCTTTAGCATTCTGTGGTGAAAAAAATGCCCAAGAGCAATCATCAAGAGAGGCTCTTTTGGTAAGGAATAGGCTAAACAATCCGAAAAAGGAAAAACAAAAAGGAAGGGGTCTAATACGTGCATCCAATGTGTTATCTTTGCGACTCGCTGTTCTCGTCAAATATGATGGACGATGCTTTTGTTCAAGAATTAACTTTCACCCCACCGCCATGACTTCACAAATGTCCAGATCACGGAATCAAACACACCAAACTAAAGTCTCCAACCCAGTTGCACGCAACTCCGAACTCATGAAATCTGGATCTCACACCCAGGCGTTTTGGATCGTTTTGGCAAGCAAACACAGATTCGTTGGTCCAAGCATCGGAGACGCTTGGAGGGGATGGTGGCCACCTCTTCTGTAATCTTCTTATTGATCCTCAGGCGGAGTGGTGAGAGCACTGGGAGTGGCAGACCCGAGACAATCCTGAACGACCCATCGACGTCCACCTCGTTGGCCGACCTCTTGCTTCCCTCCGTCGACTGGGTGGAACTCGACCAGTCGACCAAAGTGGCTTCCATTCGGAACGAGATGGTCTAGGGTAGGTCAGTCGGTTCGGGGGGCTGTCTGGGGCCTCGTTCAGGGCTCACACAGGGGTGTGGTTTGACCGAGATGGAACCCAAAGCGCTGCCGTCGCCCTCTCGGGTTCCTTTGGTGTTTCTGCCAAAGCACCAATTGGGAACCTCAGAAGTAATCCTGGTTGGCTTAGGTTGGCTTGTCCGGCAGAATTCCACGAAAAAAAGGGTCCACCAGGCATTTTCCGGCACCGGCATGCCTGGGTGGACACCGAAGCGAGCGACCCGTCACACGTGGACGGGCCGGTCAGCCTTGAGGATCGAGGGATGGTGTATCCTCCGCTTGCGTGGTCTGTCAGTCTGTTGCTTTTGCCCACGGAGTACTGAGTATTACTCAGTGGGGAGAACTCAAGCGGACAAATCTTGCACCACCCTCGATATCAAGCTAAATACCACAACCAAATTACAACGTACGTGGATTCTGAGGGGCTGATAGGGATGGAGCCTTTCAGTGTGGTCGCTCTTCTCCCATCTTCTCTACATCTCTCCCTACCGTCCCTACCCTTCCGCACCGAAAACAAGGACGGTCCACCGTCCACGTCCAAAGCAATGGGATCGAATTGGAACCGATCCTCCATTCCATCACCAGGATCGAGTGTTCCTGAAGACCAAGACGACCAAAGGTGGAGACTCCTAGACCCAACACCTGATCCTGCGTCCACAGGCCTGTCAGCTGCAAGGATTGCCCCACGTTCGACCGAAGTTGCGGGGAAGTCCAGTTCCTCCATGCGGGCACCCCCGGTGTGCCCAGAAAAGCCCAGAAGTGTGTTCAGTTTCGCGATGTTCGTGAGGAATCCCGTCCATTGCATGATCTCGATGATTGAAAATGCGTATGGGCCCCAAATCCTCAAACGCGTTGCTTCGCCCTGTCACGCCGTCCGGCCGAGGCTGTCCGGTGGACATCATGCTACGGAGCAGCTGGAAATCCAAAGTCAGCTTCCCATAGTACTTCCTCGGAAGTATTCTGGGTGCAAGCTCAGTAGTTTCAGAGAAAGTGAGTTTCTCCAGCAACCCAACATTTGGGGGGATGGACTGTACGTTGTCTATAAATGTGCTTAGTAGACTTGAGAGGAGGGAGACACGAAAGGTAGCGGGAAGAGAAGAGAACGCGAGAGGCAGGAACAAAAATGCAATGTTCGACATGGTGATTTATCCCCTCGGAGGCGACCTTTCGTAAATATATGTTCATATATATGCACTCTAAATGTTCAAACATATGCTCTCGAAATGTTCAAAAAGATTCTTAGGAAAACAAACTTGCCCCATGGCTCAGATTATCGGTGAGCATTGAATCGGAGCATCATAGGATTTGAACTATAATCCTGAAACCATAAGAGGCTCACGAAGACGCTCCCCAGGAGAGAATTGACGTGCTTCACAAAACAAACTCTAGGTATGTATCCCCTCGGGGAACACCTTTCGTGATTAGAATTTCATATGCACTCTTTCTGAATGTTCAAGAGGGTTTCAACTATCCTGAAATCATGAGAGGCTCACGAAGACGTTCTCCAGGAGAGAATTGAACTTGAGGCCAAGGGGGGGGGCGAAAGCTAGCGCTCCAGAATGGGAAAGTGGAGGGCAGCGAGGTAGGAAAAAACACGGCGCTCTTTTTGGAGGCAGGGGTGAAGAGTCCTTTATATGTGGCTCTTTGCCCGGATCCTCCTGCGAGAGAAGAGAGAGAAGAGAGACGGAAAGACGAGAGACAGAGAGGAGAGAGAGAGAGAGAGAGGAGAGAGAGATGAGAGAGATGAGAAAGAGA